ACTGAGCTGGCGACGAGCACCGCGGATCCAGTTGATCAACACCTCAGTGACCTCACCCTTGCTGCGCAAGGGGAAGACTGTGGTGTAACGCGAGTAGTCGTCAACGACCAGGAGGAAGTAGCGCTCGTGACCCTGTCGACGGACGCGGGCTGGGCCCCACACGTCCATGTGAAGAGTCTGCAGAGGGGCCTCAGTCGGAGGAAACGAGGAGGAGTGAGGGGCGGCGCGCTGCCGGCCCTCGACACAAGGAACACAGGTGGGGGCAGGCCCCGGAGGAAGGGGAGGGAGGGACCTGGGTAGACCCGAGACAAGGGCACGGGAGGCCATACCTCGAAGACGAGGCAGGGAGGGGCGACCAAGGCGGTGGTGCCAAAGGAGAGTCTCGTGTGCCAAAGGACAACACGAGTAGGGGGCAGACGCAGGACTAGACCTGGACGCGGCAGCAAACACCTGACTGGACGCAGCTACCTGACCAGACGCAGAGACCGGAGGAGGCGCAGTAGTCAGTGTGTACAGACTCGACCCTGGCCGACGGGTGAACGTGGCCAGGTGACGGCCCGTCCGAGAGCAAGTGCAGTGGGTCACACGCTGACCTCCAGGGGTGAACTGGTCAACCCACGCGTCCTGGAGGTCAGCTCCACTCACCAGGTTCGTAGAGAACGAGGGGAGGTGGAGTCCCGACAGCAAGCCCGACGGGGCCGCAGGATACGGTAGGACAGTGGAGGAGTGTGCAAGTACTGGGCCCCCTGAGGGGTCAGCAAGGGAGACCGCGACAGGCCGACGGAGCGGCGTGAGCGTGGTGCTGTCTCTAAAGAAAGAGCGCGAAGCACCAGAGTCAAGTGTGAAGGTGTGCAAGGACTCAGTAGGTGCAGTACCTGAGAGAGGAGACGCACTAGCACCTAGAGCAGCAGCCGCACTAGCACCTAGAGCAGCAGCCACAGTGCCCGGGTCGGGCGGGACACGCAGGTAACAGTCACCCTCAGTAATATCAGCAAGAGCATACATGGCAGCAAGGATAGCATCAAAGTTAGATCAAAGATAGGCACATTCTGCAGAAGCAGATCATGCCAACGAGGAAGCTCAACAGCGTCAGGAAACTGGGTACGCCAAGCGTCAGTCAGGCGGCCGAAGCAGCGCTGCGTGGTGTGTGGGAGACCACACACCTCCCCACTACGAGTGCCTGTGCAAAGAACGTACGTGCAGGGACCTGCACCCCCAGACCTCCCACGCCCAGCGTACCACTCACGAAGCTGCTGAACAGACGGGGTCTCACGGGTGCGCAGCTGCTGCTGACGCTGGCCGCCACCAAGGCCTCCACGCTGCGTGGCTGCACCGCGACCAGCACCACCTCCTCCGCTACCTCCACCACCGCTGCCGCCGCCTCCACCGCCTCCGCCACCGCCTCCACGGCCTCCACTGCCGCCACCGACGCCCCCACCCCCGGGACCACCCCCACCACCACCTCCACCTCCTCCACCGCTTCCTCCACCGCCCCCTCCACCACCCTTGCTTCCCTTGCCCTTGCCAGTGCGGCGTCGCCCACTAGGGGCAGACGCAGCGCCGACCTCCTCAGTGCCAACGAGGTCGACAGCAGCAGAAGAGGCAACAAAGGGGAGAAGGGGGACAGGGGAACACCCCTCAAAGAAGGGGGTGCGACGGTCGCCGCGAGAAGCCCCAACAGCTAAGATACTCTTCTCAGCTGCAGCAAGGCGCTCCTCTAGCAAGTCGACAGTCAGCTCGGTAGGGCAAAGGGAGAGAAAGTGATCCCTGGCTGAGGAGAGAGAGTCAGGGAGGCGGGTGACTAGGTAGTAAAGGGTGATGTACATGGGGGGGGAGTTCGTGGGAAGAAACTCAGTGGGAAGGGCAGCGCGGTAGCGAGCGTCACTAGTGCGGAGGTGAGCAACTAGGTCAGCAACTGTGGCAAAGGCGGCAAGGTCAGGAAAAAGGTACGGCAGCATGAGGCGGCTGAGGGCAGCAGTGGTAGGGGAGGAGTAGCGTGCAACTACAGCGTCGTACAGAGCCCTAGCACTCTTGTACTGACTAAAGTGCGCGCGCTCAGTAGACGGCAGGTGATTGCGCAGAGCAAGACGAGCAGCAGCATCGCGCGTGAGCCACTGCGAGCGAACAGTACTGTCAGCATCAGCAGTAGGGGCAGTAGAGGCGCCAGACGTGAGATCGAACAGTGAGAGACCATCCTTGCTATCGCACTGTAGGAAAAGCTGCAGATCATCTAGCCAGACCTCAAAGTCAACAGCTCGACCCTCAGCATCAAAGGTAAGAACATTGAGACTAGCCATGATAGGAGAAGCAGCAGGCTAGCAGCAGCAGCAGTGCAACTCGGCTAAGCAGGCTAGGCAGGGCGGCGCAGCTCGGTTGGGCGGTGTGGCTCGGCAGCGCGGCGCTCTTACGAGGGGAGAGGCTGGGGCAGGGCCGGGGTAGGGCCGGGGCAGTTCAGGAGCGGGGCCGGGGCAGGGCCGGGGCAGGGCCAGGGCAGGGCCGGGGCAGAGCCGGGCCAGGGCCGGGGCAGTTCAGGGGCTGGGCCGGGGCAGGGCCGGGGTGTTAGAATTGCCATATTCTAGCATGCTAACACTTGTGACTGTACACCAATTGTGGTGTACAGTTGGGATGGGACGACACCCAACTTTGGGTGTAGTCTTGCACTTTGGGGTGCCAATCCAACCCAATTGTGGTGGAGCCCCCAAATGCAACCCATTGGGCCATAGGTTGGCCCACTCTCACAAAGTGAGGCCAACCCAACCCAATGGGCCATAGGTTGGCCCACTCCCCCAAATATGGCCAACCCAACCCAATGGGCCATAGGTTGGCCCACTCCCCCATTCCCACCTCCCTCCTTTCCCTTCCAACCTTCTCTTCCCAAAGCTATGTATGCTTGCAAACTCTCTAATGAAGTTAATGCTTGAGTTTCCTTTCTTCACATGGTATAGAGCTAGATTCTCCTAACCTTCCCTTCCCCATCCCATTTTTTCTTTCCCAAGGGCCCACCACACACACACACACTCCCCTCGCGCCGCGACCGTTCCGTCGCCGTCGTCTTCTCCCCCTCTCCCCCTCCTCATCTCGGCTCCTTCTCGCCGCGACCTCCCCGTCGCCGCGTCCCGCGGATTTCGCCGCCAAGTCCCGCCGATTTCGCCGCCGCGTTCTCTCCGCCCGCGGATTTCCCGCGAATTTCCCCGCCGCCGCGGATTTCCCGCGCATTCCTCGCGGATTCCCTCGCCACCGCGGATTTCCCGCGGATTCCTCTCGCATTCCCGTCGCCGCCTGCCCTCCCCGCCGTCGCGACCTTTTTCGTCGCGGATTCCCCGCGGACCCCCCCGCCGCCACGAAATTCCCGCGGAATCCCCGCGGATTTCTGTCGCCGCCTGCCCTCCCCGCCCCCGCGACCTTTTCGTCGCGGATTACCCGCGGCTTCCCACGCCGCCGCGACCTTCCCGCGGAATCCCCGCGGATTCTCGTCGCCGCCTGCCCTCCCTGCCCCCGCAACCCCCTCGTCGCGGATTACCCGCGGAAACCCCCGCCGTCGCGACTTTCCCGCGGAATCCCCGCGGATTCTCGTCGCCGCCTGCCCTCCCGGCCCCCCGCGACCTGTTTCGTCGCGAATTCCTGCGACTCTCCTACGGCATTCCCCGTCGCCGTGTATTCCCCGCGTATTTCCCGCGGAGTTCCGTCGCCGCCTGCCCTTCCAGCCGCCGCGACCACGCTGTCGCCGCCTGCGCACTCCTCCCACCGTGATCGCACTGCCATCGCCTGCGGTTTCCGCCGCCGCGACCACCTCGTCGCCGCCTGCCCTTCCCACCCCCTCCCCCTCTCCTTGCAGCTCCAGCAGCGGCGACAGCAGCAGCAGCGTCAGCGGCAGCAGCAGCAGCAGTGGCAGCAGCAGCAGCAGCGGCAGTGGCAGCAGCAGCGGCAGCAGTGACAGCGGCAGCAGCGACAACAGCAGCGGCCGCGACAGCAGCAGCAGCAGCGGCTTCCCCCGTAGCAGCAACAGCACCGGCAGCAGTGACATCGGCAGCAGCCGTGCCAACCGCGCCCGTGACTGCTCCCTCCTTCCCCTCCCCCTCCCCTCCTCTTCCTCCGTTACTCCCTCCCCCCCCCCCCTCTCCTCGACACCGCCGCAGCAGCTACAGCCGCGGCAGCAGCGGCAGCGGTAGCGGCAGCAGCAACAGCAGCGGCAGCAGCGGCAACAGCGGCGGCGGCAGCAGCGGCACCACCGGCATCCCCAGCAGCACCACCAGTGGCAGCTGCGCCAACCGCGCACGTGACTGCACCCTCCTTCCCCTCCCCCTCCCCCCCTCTCTCTCCGCCTCTCCCTCTCCCCTCTCCTCGCAGCAGCGGCAGCAGCTACAACCGCGGCAGCAGCGGCGGCAGCAGCAACAGCAGCAGCAGCAGCGGCAGTCGTGTAGGCCGCGCCCGTGACTGCACCCTCCTTCCCCTCCCCCTCTCCCCCTCTTCCTCCGCCACTCCCTCTCCCCTCTCCTTGACTCAGCGGCAGCAGCTACAGCCGCGGCAGCAGCGGCAGCAGCGGCAGCAGCAGCAGCAGCAGCAGCAGCGGCAGCAGCAGCAGCAGCAGCAGCGGCAGCAGTGGCAGCAGCAGCAGCAGCAGCGGCGGCTGCGGCAGCAGCGGCATCCCCAACTGCAACGACAGCACCGGCAGCAGCACCACCAGTGGCAGCCGTGCCCGCCGCGCCCTTGACCGCACCCTCCTCCCCCTCCCCCTCTCCCCCTCTCCCTCCGCCTCTCCCTCTCCCCTCTCCTGCCAGCACCAGCAGCAGCCGAGGCATCCCCAGCTGCGGCAGCAGCAGCGGCGGCGGCAGCAGCAGCAACAGCAGCAGCAGCAACAGCCGGAGGGGTCCAGCAGCAGCACCTCCCCCTCCCCCTGGCCGCCGCGGGTCCACCCGCCGTCGCCTCCCCCTTGACCGCCGCGGGTTCACCCGCTGTCGTCTCCCCCTTGGCCGCCGAGGGTCCACCCTCCGCCGCCCATCATGGCTACCACCCCTCCTGTTCCTCTCCCCCCTCCTATCGACGCCTCTTCGGTTGACAAGCTGCAGCTTGCTGCAGATCGTTCCGCCATCAACTGGCACTCGTTCGTCGGCAGCATTCGCCGCGTCCTTCAAGACGCCTTCGTCGGACCCTACTGCGTCCTTGACGTCCTCCTTCACCGTCCGCAGGCTCTCCAACCGACCGCACCCAATCACCCTGGCGAACCTCCTCCCCTCCCCCCCCGCCCTGGGCCCCCTCCTCCTGAGCCTAACCTGACCGTGGCTACTGCCCCCGAGCTTCAGGCTGCTGCGGACGCCACCTTCCTCCACAACCGCCGCGAATACCTCATCCGCAAGGCCGACCATGACGTTGCTCTCCTCAACTATGAGTTTGCCTCGTCAGAGCGTTCCACTCGCCTGGAGCTGATTGCCGAGTACACCACCTCCATGGCGGCTTATGTCCCCAACAGCATCGCCTGGGCCGCTGCCGACAACCGCGCTTGCACCATCCTTCTTGGTGCTCTCCCCGACGCCCTCATGCGCCGCTTCCAAGCTCACGAGATGCGCGCTCACCTCATTTGGACCGAGCTCCAGTCTATGTTCGAGCGTCGCGACATCAGCTCTGTTGGCGTTCTATTCCAGGAGTATTTCTCCATCACCCTCGCCACCTGTGACGGCGCAGTCGACTATGTCGGGCGCATGCAGGAGGTTGCCGATCGCCTTGCCGCTCGCCAGGCTGCCCTTTCCGAGCCCCTGCAGATCCACAGTCTGCTCTTCAAACTCACGCCAGACTATGAGTCCCGCCTTCACGCCTTCACCGAGGCGAACCCCTTGGCTGGCCTCCCCGAGGTGACACAGTGGATCATTGACACGGAGGTCAAGCTCCGCACCCCCATTGTCAACCTCACCACCACTCACTCCTCCTCCGCCTCCCTCAATGCCACACAGCCGCGCACTCAGGGTGGTCGCACCGGCGGTAGCGGGGGTCGTGGAGGGAGTGGAGGTGGCAGTAGGGGTAGTGGCCGTGGTGGCCGTGGTGGTAGTGGTGGTGGTGGTGGTGGTCCTAGTGGCCCCGCTCCCGGAGGCTCCTCTAGTGCTGGTGGAGCTGTGAGCCGTGGTGGTGGTCGCCCTGGGACTCTTCCCCCCTGCACGTATGTTCGCCGCCACGGTCCCCACGCCGGCACGCCGTGTGGTCAGACCAACCACCCCCCTGCCACCTGCTTCAAGGCGCTTGATGACGCCTGGTTTGACCGCGGCAACACTGGTACCCCTCCTCGCTGGAACAGTGTTACCCCTCGCCCGTCCCTCATGGACATCCAAACCCTCCCCTCCTTCCTCCCCGCTCACCTCCGTCTACTCACCCCTTCCCTCCCCTCCCAGCTCCAGCAGTTTCAGCAGCACCAGCAGCAGCAGCAACAGTACTTCCCGCAGCAGCAGCAGCCGCAGTTTCTTCAGCAGCAGCGGCCGCCGCTCTTTCTGCCGCAGCAGCCCCCACAGCCGCAGTTCTTCCAGCAGCAGCAGCCGCAGCAGTACCTTCCTCCGCAGTGGCAGCAGCAGCCGATGACCTTTGGCGCAGCGGCCATGGCTGCTCATGCCTCCCTTGCCCCCCCTGCCTGGGGTTCCATTCCCTCTGGCCCCCCGAGTGTCCCTGACTCTCAGAGTAGTTTCCTTGGTCATATTGCTGCTGCACCTTCCGTCGCTTCCATGTATCCCTCTGCTATCAATGAAACGTCTTTCCAGTACCCCGTCTCACCCCCCCCCCCCTTCCTCCCCCACCTTGGACTTTGTCCTTGACAGTGGGGCCACAGAAACCGCACTCAAAGACGCTGGCACCCTCACCCCCCTCCCACTTCCTACTCAGGTTCATGGTGCTGACTCCAGCTTCTCCATCCCATGCACTCACCTCTCCACCCTCCCCTGCACCGCTTTCCCCTCCGGTAAGGTCACAGGTCTCCACATCCCTACCCTTCGCAACAACCTCCTCTCTCACCGAGAACTCCAAGGTGTCGGTATTACCGCCATTTACCCCGGCTTTGCCAATCACTGTGATCTTTACCAAACCTCCTCTGGTCGCTTTCTCCTGCGCATTCCCCTTTGCCCCCGCACTCGCCTTTACACGCTCCGCACACCCCGTCCCTCCTTCTGTCATGTTACCACTCGTGCTGGTACTTCCACCGGTCCTCCTCCCCCTCTCCCTCCCCCTCAGGTATCCCCCTCCCCTTCTTCACTTCCCTCCTCCCTCCCTTCTTCCTCCACCCCCTCCCCCTCCTCCTCCACTACCCTCTCCCACCCAGCAGTCATTCTGCATCACAGACTCGGCCATCCCAACTTCGCCGCACTTCGCACCACTGTCACCTCTCGTCTCCTTCACAGCCTCCCTCCCACCTTACCTCCCCTCCCCTCCTCTCCTGCCCCCCCATGCCCATCATGCATTCATGGCAAGCTTAAGCAATCCCCCCATCACAGCCATCCCACCTTTGCTGCTGCCCCCATTGACCTTGTCCACATGGATCTCTGGGGTCCCTATCCCTTCCGCTCCCGTCAGGGGCACCGGTACATGCTCGTCCTCGTTGACGACCACAGTCGGTACTCCACTGTCTTTTTCCTCCACACCAAAGATCAGGTCCCGGCTGTTGTCATCACCTGGGCTGAGCAGTGCCGCAATCACTTCAAACGCCCCATTGGCCGCCTTCACTCTGACGGTGGGGGTGAGTTCATCAACAACACCCTTGCTACCTTCTGCAAAATTCATGGCATCCAGCAAACTTCCACCCTCCCCCACTCCCCTCAGCAAAATGGCATTGCTGAGAGTCGCATCCGCGAAATCACCAAAATTGCCCGCTGCCTCATTGCCCACGCCTCCACCCCTCCCTCCCTCTGGAGCTATGCCCTTCTCCATGCCGCCCTCCTCCTCAATCTCTGCTCCCACCCTCAGCACCCCTCCTCTTCCCCCACAGAACTCTGGTCTAAGGCCAAGCCTGACGCTGCCGGCCTTCGCGTTTGGGGCTGCAAGTCCTTCGTCCTCATCCCACCGGCCGATCGCTCCCGTGCCGCCGGCAAGCTCGCCCCCCGTGCCCTTGAGTGCGTCTACCTCGGGCACAATCGCGACTCCCCGGGCTACCTGTTCCTCCACCCTCCCACCAACCGCCTCATCCGCAGCATTGACGTCGTCTTCGACGAGTCCATCCCCTACTACTCCACTCCTCCTCCTGACCCTCTCCCTCCTCCCACTCGCCCCCTCGCCTGGACTGACACTGTCCTCCCACCTCTCCTCCCTCCCTCTCCTCTCCTCCCCCCCGTTGCCGCTCCACTCCCTCCGTCCTCCTCTGCTGACGTCTATGACCCCGCCGCACCCGCCTCCCCGGCCCACTCCGCTGCGCCCCCTCCCCCCTCTCCCTCCTCCTCTCACTCCCCCCCTCCTCTCCAACGACCGGGCCAGCAGCAGCAACAGCAGCAGCAGCAGCGGCAGCCGGGACAGCTGCAGCAGCAGCCGCCGGGGCAGCAGCAGCAGCAGCCGGGTCCGCAGCAGCAGCAGCAGTGGCAGCCGGGTCAGCAGCAGCAGCAGCAGCAGCAGCCGACTCCACCGCGTCAGCAGCAGCAGCAGCAGCAGCAGGTCCAGCAGCAGCAGCAGCAGCAGCGCTACCGAGCAACTTCCCGCTCCTCCCCTTTTCTCCTCCCTCGCATGCACACTCGCTCCCTTGACAAGGTCTTTGGAGCCCCTCCTCCTGCCTCCATTCAGCTCCTTGAGGACTCCCACAAGGAGTTCCTCGACATTCGGCACCACACTCCATTCCTTGCCTCCATCTTTCATGACTTCCTTGGTCTTCCCGTCCTTGGCGCCACCTCCACCCCTACCATCTTCACTCCCTCCACCTTTAAAGAGGCCATCGCCTGCCCTGATGCGGACAGGTGGATTGCGGCTATCTTCCTGGAGTGTGAGGCCTTCATTCGCAACGACTCCTTCGTTGATGTCCCCCTCCCGGACGATGCCAACCTTGTCGAGGGCAAGTGGGTCTTTCGGGTGAAGCAGCTGCCCGGCGAGGATCCGGTCTACAAAGCCCGCTATTGCGCTAAGGGGTTCACCCAGACTTGGGCTGAAGATTACTGGTTCACCTATGCCCCCACCGCCAAGCCACCCACCCTCCGCACCCTCCTTGACGTTGGTGCACGCGACGACATGGAGATCTGTTCCATGGACGTCTCCAATGCGTTCCTGCAAGGGGACCTGCACGAGCGCATCTTCCTCCGGCGACCCCCCGGGTTCCACGCCGCCTTTCCGGATAACACTGTGTGGCAGCTGCGTCGACCTGTCTACGGTCTGAAGCAAGCACCTCGGGAGTGGCACGCGAAGCTGTCTACCACCTTGGGATCCCTTGGCTTCTCTGCCTCTCATTCTGACGCCAGTCTCTTCCTTCGCTCCTCCCCTCGCCGCTTCTTCATTCTGGTGTATGTGGATGACATGATTCTGCCCTCTGACTCCAAGACTGACATGGAGCAGATGAAGCAGCAGCTGCAGCAGCGCCTCAAGTGCAAGGACCTGGGCGACCTCACCCACTACCTTGGCATGGCTATCACTCGCGACCGTCCCGCTCGCACCATCACCCTCTCCCAGTCTCATTACATCGGCCTAATCTTGGAGAAATACGAGATGACTCAGGCCAGTCCCATAGCCACCCCCCTCCCTTTCGGCCACCAGCTTGCTCCACCAACCTCGCCCTCCTCCTCTCACCCTTATGCTGAGCTCGTTGGGTCGCTGATGTACGCTATGATGTGCACCCGTCCCGACCTCGCCTACCCCATCAGCGTGCTCGCTCGCTTTGTTGGCCCTGGTCGCCACTCCGAGGTGCACTGGAAAGCTGCTAAGCGGGTCCTCTGCTACCTTCGCGGCACCAAGGACCACGCTCTCACTCTTGGTGGCTCCTCCCCTCCCCTCCTTTCGGGCTTTAGCGACTCCTCCTGGGCCGACTCGCAGCCTGACCGCCGCTCCTCTCAAGGCTACGGCTTCACCCTCGGCAGCGGCCTAGTTAGCTGGCGCTCCACATGCTCCTCCTCCGTTTCTCTCTCCTCCTGCGAGGCTGAGCTCTACGCTGGCACCATGGCCGCCCAGGAGTCCCGCTGGCTCTGCTTTCTTCTTGCTGAGCTTGGCGCCCCTCAGCCCTGCCCCACCCTCTGGTGTGACAACGCCAGCACCATCCACCTCACTCAGGACCCTGTCTACCACGCCCGCTCCAAGCACATCGAACTCCGCTACTTCTTCATCCGCGAGCTCGTCCAGCGCGGCCTTCTTGCTGTCCGCAAAATTGCTGCTGAGGCCAACTTGGCCGACATCTTCACCAAGGCTCTCCTTCGCCCTGCGCACTCTGCTCTCCTCCGTCTCATCGGTCTTGCTCGCCCGGGCGCCCCCTGATTCAAGGGTTGCTCCCTTCCTGTGTTAGCCTGCTAAGGGGTTGTGTTAGAATTGCCATATTCTAGCATGCTAACACTTGTGACTGTACACCAATTGTGGTGTACAGTTGGGATGGGACGACACCCAACTTTGGGTGTAGTCTTGCACTTTGGGGTGCCAATCCAACCCAATTGTGGTGGAGCCCCCAAATGCAACCCATTGGGCCATAGGTTGGCCCACTCTCACAAAGTAAGGACCAACCCAACCCAATGGGCCATAGGTTGGCCCACTCTCACAAAGTGAGGCCAACCCAACCCAATGGGCCATAGGTTGGCCCACTCCCCCAAATATGGCCAACCCAACCCAATGGGCCATAGGTTGGCCCACTCCCCCATTCCCACCTCCCTCCTTTCCCTTCCAACCTTCTCTTCCCAAAGCTATGTATGCTTGCAAACTCTCTAATGAAGTTAATGCTTGAGTTTCCTTTCTTCACACGGGGCAGTTCAGGAGCAGGGCCGGGGCAGGTCAGAAGCAGGGCCGGGGCAGGGCCGGGGCAGGGTGCAGGGCCGGGGCAGGGCCGGGGCAGGGCCTGGGCAGGGCCAGGGCAGGGTCGGAGCAGGGCCGGGACAGGGCCGGGGCGAGGCCGCGACAGGTCCGGGGCAGGGCCGGGGCCGGGCCGCGGCAGTGCAGGAGCAGGGCCGGGGCAGGGCTGCGACAGGGCTGCAGCAGGGCCGGCGCAGGGCCTGACGGGGCCTGACGGGGCCGAGAACTGGGCCTGACGGGGCCATACGGGGCCTCTAACGGGGCCTGACAGGGCCTTACGGGGCCTGACGGGGCCTTACAGGGCCTTACGGGGCCTTACGGGGTCGTACGGGGCCTAACGGGGCCTTAAACGGGGCCTGACGGGGCCTTACGGGGCCTTACGGGGCCTTAAACGGGGCCTGACGGGGCCTTACGGGGCCTTACAGGGCCTTACGGGGCCTTAAACGGGGCCGTAAACGAGGCCTTACGGGGCCTTACGGGGCCTTAAACGGGGCCGTAAACGAGGCCTTACGGGGCCTTACGGGGCCTTACGGGGCCTTAAACGGGGCCGTAAATGGGGCCTTACGGGGCCTTACGGGGCCTTACGGGGCCTTAAACGGGGCCGTAAATGGGGCCTTACGGGGCCTTACGGGGCCTTACGGGGCCTAACGGGGCCTTACGGGGCCGTAAACGGGGCCTTAAGGGGCCTTACGGGGCCTTACGGGGCCTTACGGGGCCGGAAAA